CACAAAAGGAAAGACAGATATGAAATTAAACTTAAGCACCACCCAGGACGATCAGTTTTAGCAGATTTTTTCACTATTGGAACAGTTCTTTAAGAAGCCTTTCAGCAGCTATTTGTGTATAGCTACCAATGCCCGTGCTAAAGAGCATTGTGTTCACACCAGTATATAGCAACTCCTTTTCAACCACTGGTTTAGAACCAGGCATCTTTCCTTTTTCTTTTCCTACAAGAACTATGACAAAGCAATTACTGATGTTAACATCAGGCATTTTGACTGGATGTTGCTGTTGTTTTATAACCTGTACCTACCCAAGATGTTTCAGCAATGTGCTCTTTTACCTTCATCCTGTTAAACAAGAACTATTGTAGTAAGACTCCAACTTAGTTTGGGAGCTAAAACAAGAATTTGTAAGAATATGGAGGCCTCAAAGCCAAGGGCTTTGCCCTGCCAAGCCCTGCTTCACACAGGAAGGAATTAAGATTCTTTCTGTTGCCTGTAAATTTGTCTGTTGTGATGTTTATTAATTGCAATAATCGACTTGAAGACCTCCCCTGAAACAGGGTTCATACTTGTTATTAGAACTTTGAATAGGCATACTTGTACTTGCTAGAATTTTAATAGGACCAACACCCCATACACTTTTCAGTGTAGTACCTGATGGTAGGAATTAGCCTACCACAGAGCCACAAATAATTATCCTAAATCCTACTAACACCCATAATTGAAGAATGACTAAATATACAGCCCTTTTGGGCTTGGCTTGGAGGAAAATCTTACTCCTAACACTAGAATACCATGCCAGACGGAAATGCAGCATCTGAATTCCTTCCCTGTGTCCTATCAATGCTCAGTTTGAAAACACCTTGAAGATGGATGCACCATCAGCACACCTGTTACTGAACAAGCATTACATGGCATGCTCAGCCTCACCAAAGGGGAGTGCTCTGTCACCATCCATAATGCTACAACTTCAACTGAAGATGGCTGAGCAAAGATGAAGGAAGCTGCTGACCAAATTGCTGAACAATTACAAACACTGCAAACAAAGAACTGGTTCAATGAATCAAGCCTTGGACATCAGATTTCTTCCATTTTTAAATCATGGGGTGAGGAAAGTGTTTTACACAAATGGGGATTGTAATATTGGTGGGATTTCTGGTTTTAATGATGAGCACAGACTTTATTTGCAACTATAATTAGCTGCATACTGACTCTGTTTCCTCCCTCTTCTAGCCAACTATCCGATACACAGAGATCACCACAGCCAAAGATGAACCATACACCAAATCAATAGTAAGGAATGTTTGAGCCTCTGGGTGGTGTGGTGGACCTAGCATAAGCATGTTTTGTCTCAAACATTCTGACTGTTCTGGTAGGAAAGCTGTGATTGGAAGAGAGGGTCTCACTGAGGTGGGGCAGCACAGTGCTGAGCCAACTCCCTGCTCCACCTGGAGACTTGTACTCACTTCCCCACTCTGCACTCACTCCCTGAAGGAGGGATCCAAGGGCTGGCAATGCATCCAAGAACAAAACAGCACAAAAAATCTTATTCACAAAAGAGGCTGCAGCAGGTTAACTATGAAAGGAAGCAGATTGGGCTCCCCTGCTCTCTTTTTCCTCTCTTTCACTGTGTTACAATTCCACGTCTGGACCACCCACATCATGAGACCAAGGAAGGATCAAAGGACTTGTGATATTCCTTGTTCTCTTCCTTTTCTGCTTTTATTTCTCTATCCCTCACTCTGTGAGGCCATCATTTATATTTATTATCATTTATATCATGTATATAATTTTCTATTCCATAATCCGTACTGAAGTGTATTTGTGGGAGTGATGAGTTGTGGAAATGTTGTGGTTTGTGAGCCAGCACCTTTGAGTAGTGTGTTGATGGAGTTGAGAGTTTATTAAAGTGTACTGTAAAAATTACAGCCTTGCTACCCAGCTCTTGTGAAAGTCTTCAAACATAAGGGCTGGTGAACCAACACCTTTTAAGTATAAACAGTGGAGTGGTTGTTGGACACAAGGTGATCACACAAAAAAGCACAAGAGCTCCCTAAAGCATGTCCAGTGTCTTTGCTGAATCCTGATGAGAATATATAATGAATATCATGGCCCCTACTGATGGTTCATGACATGCTCAAGCAGAAATTCCTTCAGCTAGTCTTTTGGTAGTGGTTAACCATCTGCAGAGAAGGTAAGTTTGAGCAGTGGAGAAATATGTCAAAGGGAAAGGGAAAAAGAATTCAGGACAAGGAAAAGCTGAACAGTGAATAGGAGGTTTAAGTCAAGTACAGGGTCATGTAAAAAAAGTAGTAAATCTAACAATAAGAAGAGGTGAGCAGGAAAGGTAAAGCTTTTACACACCAAATAGTTATTGCAAAAGAATCACCTGATCACAAGAAATCAGTCTGACCAGTAGAAACATATAAACACCACTACACAGCATCAAACTGGTAAAAGACCAGCTCTTAAGAGTTTCATTACAGTTCTTTAAAAAGTCCATTCTGACCTCTCAAACTGGAGTACGTCCCCGAGCAGAACAGGAAATAATGAACTAAGTCAAATTAAGAGGAAGATTCTGGAACTGCAGCTGTTCTACCAAAATAAATATACATTTACATATAAACATTATACTTTAAAATGCATATGTTGTACGACCCTCAGACCTCACACACAAAAATTGTTTAAGTTATTTTTTTACACAAGTTCTGAAGTTACCCTAAGCACTGTAACAGGAACATGCTTATATAATTTCATCCACAAGGGAAATATTAATCCAAAACAATTAAAAAGTTTGAGTCAAAAGAGCACTTGTAGGAGACATTTACTTTTAGCATCAGAAGCACTTCTGCAAGCTGCTGTATAAACACAGCCATTCATTGCACTTGAGAGAAACCCACACAGTCCTCTTGCACTAGAGTATATGGTTAACACAAAACATTTGGCATAGAAGATGTCTTGCTGCTCACAAGACAACAGTAGGTCAACGATACTACCATGAGGAATGCAAATACAGTTTTAGGATGCTGCAGGACAGATTACAACAACCACACCTGCCAAGGGTAATTGCTTAAATTATAACAAACTTAATTCAAGTAACACCATTCAGGAAGGCTAAACTTCAACTACAACAAGTGCAAAACAGAGAAGAAGTTAGGACTGTCTCATTTACAATAACAAAACAAAACAAGGGCTAAGAATAGACCTAATGACTGCTCTAAAAGCACAAAAGTAAAAGTGCCAGAGAAAACAAAAGCTTACATTTAACAAGGAAAAGGATGATATGCCACTGTATCTGTAACAGCTAGAAAAAAGCCCTGGCACTGTCTCAAACAGAAGAACAGAAAAAATACAAAATCCAAATAAATCCTAGTTTGATGCGGCTGGTTTTAGCAGACTTTATCTTGTGACTTCCAGTCTGGAAATAAGTATCTGAAATAAGTACTGAAATAAAAGAGGGAGAAGCATGTTAAAAGAATCCACTAGCTCTACCTGCTAATAAATGTATTTTTATTTTACTTTGATGATGCAAGCTCCAGCATTGATTTTCATTATGATTCCTTCATCTGGTTTTTTTGCAAAGATATTACAGCTTTTCATGCCACTCATATCAGAGGACAAATGGAAATGTCCACTATGCATTGAGTTCTTTCATCACTTGCTGTGATTTATAGATATACTAAACAATATTGGTTCTTTAGTGACTCCAAACTAAGTTACTCAGTAAAGTTACTTCAAGCTTTTTATTCAGCTGGGAACAAACAGCTCTATGATTGAGATATTTGGAAACCAAACAGATAAATGCTGCCAGCAAGCAGTATCATCTGTTGAATCAGTATCTGGTGATCTGTTGAAGCAGTATCATCAGCTGAAATGGGCTGAAGTGGTAGCCAAGCTTAGGAAGTTGCATGTGTAATAAAAACACTTTTACCAAAAGCAAACAGATAAAAAAGTTCTCTTTCTCTACATGATCAAATAATTAGTACTTAAAAAAAAACACTATCTTGCAATATATTTCTAAACATGCTTTGTAGTAGACAGCCTTTAACTAGAAGAAATCTCAGACTATTTTCAACTTTCACCAGACATACAGAATAAGTTCAAGATACGTTAAAACAAAATTAATCTAAATCTGATTTAACACACAATAACCCTCTTTTTGGGTTATTGTTTGGGTATTGGGTACAGTTCCTCTAATTGGAACTGTATCCCATGTTGTCCTCTCAAGCCATAATCTGCATGTTTTAAAAACTTTTACTACTCACAAAATAAGTATTTTTCAAAGCAAGGAGAGTGACACCAATATTTTTCAGGAGTTTATTATATTTGTAATGCTTTTCAGATTTCTTATCTAAAGCCATGCATTTTTGTTACCACAGTTTACCTTTCACTTTATGAAACCATACCAGGCAAATTATGGTGTTACCAAAGTAGCTGTGATGACTGAGAAAAAGCCAAACAATGATGTATTAACACAATATCCAAAAGTATCATGTTTGCAAGAGAAATAAACATATTACACAGCATTGTAAATAAAACATGTCTACCAAAGTGATGTGTAAATACCGGCAGTTAGAGATGAAAACTATTTGGGGGCAGGAGTTTGGACATTGAAACACACGCAGTCTCAAGAATTTCTGGAGTTTCCCTCTAGTCAGCTGATACCAAGATTCACAGTAAATTTGTTGTTCCTCTACTTGTTGGACAACAAAGGAATCTACTAAAGATGACTACTGCAGAGCACATCATTGATGCAGCATTAAACCATCACTGACTTTGGAAACATAGACTTAGCCTTGAAAACAGTGACAACAACTAAAAATTAGTTTTACTTAATATGGACAAACAATTATATCTCTCACTAATTGCTTTTATCTAATTCAATGAAATCATACAAAAATATTAAAGGTTTCAATTAAAGAAATCAAACCATTAACTTCTGAAAGGAAAATTCCAATTAAGTTTCTCATCCCAAATCCTTTAAAAAAATATTAACTTACCAGCTTAATTGCCACATAGTCATTTGTGTATAAATTTTTTCCTTGAAAAAAGAATAAAAAAAGAATGTGAGACAATGGCTTTTCTGTTCAAGTAAATGCCATTTAAATATCAAGAAAGTCTTCAAAACATTTTTTATCTAAAGTGCTAGGTGTTCTGGCAGTGACTTAGGAAATGTAGGTTTATTAGTCCAGTACTTTATTCTAAAAACAATTTTCCTTGAATGGTGTAAGAGGCGGAAATTTCACAGAGAGTTTCAGATATATCACAAAGTTTATGATATTTTTATGTACTGCCAATGTTTGAAAATTGGTAAATCACAATAACCAGAATGTGATATTCTACATTTTCATAATTATTGCTGAAAACTATTTGAAATTTATTTTTAAATTACCATACAATTTTGAAACATCAGCCATTAATTAAAACTAGAATTAACCAGTTAATTATTTAAATGAGGACCATTTTTTTCCTGAGTTATGAAATTTATCAACCTAAAGACAACAACATTCCTGATAGGCTTACACCACTTGAAAATGCATCTGCTGCTTTAAAAGGGATTCTGTAACTGTGTAAGAATTTTTTCAATAAGCATCACATTGAACTGAATGCAATGACTAAAATGTTAAACAAGTTTTAGTGGTGAGAAATTAAAAAATAGCAAATAAAGGATAAATTGTCATTTCCAATACTTCTTGCTTCCTTACAATCTTCAAATGCGTTTAGTGTATATTATTCTTAATGATAATCCTCCTTTTTTCTCTGTAGTATTACTCAGGTCTGAATTTCCTATGTTTAGCTCAGTTTTGTTAAAGAAATCAAATGGGGAAAAGGCATAGACCAAATCTAAAAAGTTCCCTGTGAAGACTGTTTCACAGAATCATAGAACATTCTGTTTGGAAGGGACCCACAAAGATCACTGAGTCCAACTGTTAAGTGAATGTGCCACAGAGGAACTGAACCCATGACGATGCTTTGACCGAGTGAGTTACACCAACAGCCAAAGACTGAAGTGCTAATGATTCTTCTAAAAAATAGAGTACTCTTGTAAAGCCGAAACAAGATTGAGTTTGCATCTCTTAGTGGACCAACTCCACAAAAAAAATCAAATTACCTGAGAACTTCACAACAACAAACACATAATGAATATGAGCAGCATGCCATAATCTGACACACAAAAAGGAAGTGTACTTCCTTTTATACATAAGACCTATGCAAGGACTAGAGTGGATACCCAGGAATCCTAAGTATTTCTTATCTAATGATGATGTGAGTTACATTTTTGATAAAAACTGTACTTTGTTTAAAGTTGTTTCTGTGTCTTTGCAAGTAATACAATCTATAAGACAGTAGCAGAAACTCTTGCAGGAGCCCTGCTCATTCCATCTCTTAGATATATACATCACCTACTCTGAGTAACAAATCCAGTTACAGTGAAGTAACTGGATATTGAGCTTCAAAAGCTGTAATGACATGCTTATTCTGAAGTAGCATCAGAAGGAGCATTAATTTTCCAGGTGGCCAGTCAGGACAACTGTCTCTTTAAAATACAGCAGATACACATACATGACAGCACTGTTGATCTGACCATAAATACACAACAGGTACTGAGTGATGCATCACTTTCAACAGCAACAAATTCTCTCTTACTACCTAATCTGTTCATCTAAACTGTATCAGTTTAATTTAACTATTACAAAGAGCCTTAAAATTAACACCTTGATATCCAAACCAGTTTAGTCCTTTGCCAGCTAATGGTTGAACATCACAGATAGTAATTTTCTACAGATGGCAAATTTCCCATTTGATCCACAAGCCACTACTGAAGTCTGACCACCACTTTCTTCTCAGGTCAAAGTACAGCTCCTGATACATAACTGAATTTTTATCTTCTGGGCACAACTTCATCACTCAATAACTTTATTCCTCCGTTAAGTCCCTCAGGTCTAACCTTAGGACACATGCTGGAAACATATTCCCATCTGCAGAAGTGTATATAAAAAACAAAGTGCTTGTGTACATCTTTGTAGAAAGAGTGCACTATAAGAATTTGATACTGTAGCAAAGCAAATAAAAAAATCAGAATCTATAATAGCAATATTAACTCTTGTTGTCAGTAATTTACATTTAAAACACCTTACTTCATAAAAAACAATAAATAGGGATTTGAAATATGTAGAATATAAGCAAAACTCACAGATATTAAAATGAGAAAGGTTGCACTTGTCCTGGTGACTGCTGCAGGACAATACACGCCCCCATAATATTCCTCCTATTTCTTTTACTTACTTGTTCTATTTTATTTCAGTACTGTGAAACTGTAAGTCTTAAGTAATTTAATATTGTATTTAAAATAAAATACATTGTTTCACTGTAACAGCTGCAAGCAAATGAGATAATCAGATATTGATTTTTAATCAGTTCTGTACTTCTTGATCAGAATAACAGAGAAAAAAATAACTTTACTAGTTTGCAGCTGCCTTTACGTAAAATTAATTTTGCTGGTTTGATTTAGCTCATTGAAAGGTTTGAAACAAAAATTCAGAATTGAAGGCAGCATGAAAAAATCTGGGTAGTGAGGAAGAACAATATTTCAGCTTGATTTGTGGACTGCAAAGGTGTGTATGCAACATTGTAAATGTCAAAATGTATTAATTTTGTTTAACTATTAATAGCAATAACAAGAGTACCTATTACACTGCCAAATTAAGTATCCTAAGTCAGAGCTGCAGCAATGTTGTCTTTAATATTTTCTTTAACTCCCTCTACTGTATTAATTTGCTAAGCTTGTTTACATCCTGACAGCCCTCAGAATTCACTATATTAAAACATACTATATTGTACGCAAGCACTGTATCACAAATATTGTCTAAAGGGCAATGACTATTAGTTCTACCATGGCAAAGATCAACACAAACAGCACCTATATAGCCCACCATCCTCTCAAATATCTAACTTTGGAACCCACCTCTACTTAATGCACAAAGCAAGTTAAATCAAGCCTTCTAACAATACAAGACTGAATTCTTGCCATTAAGTTGTATTTATTAACACATACCTGAACTTACACATCTTGAAAATCCTGGCTAATCATGTCACTCCTGGAAATACAAGTCCCCAAAATTAAACAAATAGTCCTCCAAAAACACACACCCATCAGTGTCTATTTTAATACATGCTAACATTTCCAGCTTTGCTGCCCAGATTCTTCAAAACTCCACAGGTCCTTCTCAGTCTGTGCCTTCTCCACCATCTGATTTTCAGCCATCTGTTCAGCAGAAAACTACAGCAACTGAATTACCCCAAATTTTCTCTGCAGATGGTTTCTCACTGCCCTGTTTAACAGCAACTCAGTGTTTAGCCTCACTACATTAGAAAAGAAACCAAGGAACTCCCCTGCTCCCTATTATTAAAAATGCTGTAGTACCTGGTTACTAGATCTACAGATCTCTACAGCTCTGCCAGACCTACAGGACAGGGATGTGCGTCATACATTTAGCCCTAAATATACCTCAATAAAGTGCCTCAGGAAGTCAGAAAAGTCCACTACAATAACCATGATGTAACTTCCAGCATCTTGGAAGAGAAAACTGACAGAATTTAGGAGTGTACTGCACACAGTTAGAAAACATTTTAGTCCCAGCAAGTATTCTGCTATACAGATTCTGCATGGCATCAAGCTTGCACTGGCTAGGGTAAAGCCACGAAAGATGAACCCAATATGCCTTGCACATCTGAAGTTTAAGTCAGTTTGAAGAGTTGCACAGTATTTATAGAGAATTTTTCTTGCCTAGACTGCATAAAAATGGCCTTGAATAATGTAAATTGAAATAAAGAAATGAGGATCTTACCTAATCGTAGTTCTCCAAAATTACCACATCCAATTTTTTTACCAACTCTGAAATTAGGTCCAACCATTAACACTCCAGAATTTGAAGAACCAGTTCCACGTGGATTATGGCCTGATCTCCCACTAGGCCGTGTCATTCTTTCATCCGGTTTGTCTTTGTCTTTTTTTTTATTTTCCATGTCAAGTTTACGGTACTCCACTTTGATTTATTCCTCTTTTTAAAAATCAGTATAAGCAAATTCCAATTGGACAACGTGAGAATGAAAACATCATGAGTGAAGTGGCCAGATGGTTACTGTCAGTAAGCAGACAACAGCAGCATGTTCTTCCTGTTTGCAAAGCCCTGGTGGTATCTGTAGTTAAGGTATTTCCAGAACGCACAACACCAGCAATATTTCCTATTCTTTAGAGGAATTCTGTTAAAAGAAAAAAAAGTTATTCAAGACACTAAGATTCTTCTCATAAAATTACCTTTCCCTTCAACTAGTCACACAAGATATAATTAATTACATTTGCTTTAGAGATCTATGAAAAGCACTACTTTCAGGTTAATTCTCTCTATTTCTAGTATGTAACAGCAAGAAATACTGGTGTGACTAAAGTATGCTAAAATTTGCACACTTCAAGAAATAGTTATTTTTTAGAAAAGCAACAAAAAAGCCTTATAATACTTCTTCCTGAATAAACACACTTAAAACTGACACTTGGACACACTCACTTCACTTTATGCCAGCTCCTCAAAAGAAAGCATTTTATTTATTTTCCCTCAAACAGTATCTGTTGTTTTAACCAAATGCTCAAGCTAAACAGTTACTGAAATTATAGAAATATATTGTATTTTCTGAATTGTAATTTCTGAGATGCACGAATTATAAACTCATGGCAAGGATACTTGAATTCTTTCAGTAACTCTTAGAATTTAAAAATAAACTGTATTTACTTACTCCCCCCACTATACTTCTGTCATAAATCTGTTTCCCTCTTCCCCTTCTTCCTTGTCTAGCATCATTGCCTAGACACTAATTTCTACACTGGATTTCAGCAAAAACAATGTTATCTTACTATTGTAATAAAGAACCACAAGAAAGATTTGATTTTAAATCTCAGCTGTAAGAACACCTGATATGGTTTTCTATTCGATGACAGTGGCATAAAACCCCATAATTCAGAAGGTTCTACACTGGCAAAATTTCACAATGAGTTAAGTACCTGTCCAAAATTATTTTCCTACATTTGCTTCAATGTTGGAAATACACTGCAGTAATGGAGAACATCCTCTGGAAAAACATATTTCATGTGCTACAGCCTATTTTAAAAGTAGTCACCAGGAGTTTATTTTTAACACTTTGAGTTGAAGACAATTCCATTTTGTAAACCAATTTGTCACAAACTAAAACTATTACTCACATCACAGCTTACCACAAAATAACAAAAATCAAAGAGGTAGTAGTGAAAATATACCAAATAATATGAACAGTCACATGAATAGTTGTATCTGCTAAATCAAACATAGTTATAGCATGGCTATTACTCAATGACATTTAAAAACCACTAATCAACAGCTGACTTATTACCTGAACAATGAAGTACATGGAAATTTGTTTGGTAAAGAAATATAACCACATTTCTGTGGAATAGGGAATGAAAGGTTTGTTCTGAGAGCAATCAAAAAACACAAATGCAGATTACAACCCAAGATGACTTGCTTAATGCCAGGGAAAAGGACTTTAGCAGTGAGTAAAGAAAGCTGCGATGTTTTACAGTATAGACAGAAGCATTTAAGAGAAGACAGGCACATTACTACATAATCTTGCAGGTTTTCAAGCACCATCACGAGATACCCTAGAGTTACCTTCTAAATCACAGCTCTCGAAGAAACTGACTCAATGGGAAACAACAGATAAGCTTCCCTCACCCACTATGCTACAAAAGCTAGGGAAAAAATAAGAAAACTAGACATTAAGTGAGTTGAAGCAGAACTTCAAAATCACCATTCAGTTCTTAGAATGAAAGTCAGCACATCTGATGCAACAGAATTCGACTAAATATTTAGGTACCAAAGAAAGAAGATTTATGTTCCATATCTTACTGGCTTCTTCAGAAAGAAAACATTAAACAATTCTAGAATTTTTAGTGTTCCAAATACACTATGAACAACATCAGTTTTGCTTTCCAGAAATGTGCCTATTAGATGGACTAATCTATTGCACAGTAATTTATGTACTCCCCTTTCCTCCTGTTGAACGGACAGATACTCCAGTTACATTTTAGGTAAGCTTTCTTACATAAACTGAAATTTGTAACTTCTTATAAGATACTTGCTAAACAAACAACACAACAGAAAGTCTCACACTTTTTCCACACTACATATCAAATGGGAGACATGCAATTATTCCTGCCACAGTTTCTCCAGGACACAGGTGTTCTCTTGCATTTTCCTAATAAAATCATCTGCAATTAACTCAAAGTAAAGACAGTGCTTATGACTTTCTTCATTTTGAAGTTCCTGTACAATATTTTATGATATATTTACCTTAAATATGCAAAAGTTTTTCGTGGTTACATTTATTTGTATTGCACTTACCTATGACAGTGTTATAATGTTGATGGCAACATCTTTTCTTCACCATAATGCTCACATTCTAGAGAAAAAGTATCAAAAGGCAAAGACATATTTATGTAGCATTTGCAATTACCTAACATATAAAATTTCTGATACAGAACAAAAGTGCAGTGTTTGAAACTGCATTAGTTTTCTTAGACTGTTAAGGAAGATGCAGCAGATTTGTCTCACAGACTCAACATAATTTTTAAGACTCAAAAATCAGACATCATTCAAAGGTGTGCATCATCAGAAGTGTAAAAGGAATACATACAGTGTAAACATTCTAAATTATTTGGGAAATCATTTTCTTGCTATATGACAATTACGGGCAATCTGTCTGAAAAAAAAAAGCCATCCTCATTTCACAGCTTGTTTTTCTGTTTAATTTTCATTTTTTCATTTCTGCCTACATAAACGAGCACACAAACAAAAAACTGCAGCCCAACATCAGGGACTATTGTTAGGATTTAAATAATTGTTAAAAAGAATATATTACTAAATATCAGGATAATGTCAAACACACCATTAAAGACGAGTTGACAAAGCAGTCGCATAGCAGTGAAATGACTATGTTCAAGTATGACGAAGAGAAGACAAAAGAAGCTACCAAAAAAAAATCAAAATGGTATTACATAGAAGAAAAAGTAATTAGATCTCAATTATAAACTAAATCCATAATCTATATAGACTGAAGATAAAAATCAGAACAAGATTGGAAGAAAGCAAGTAATTTCAAAGTAATTGACGTGCCCAACTAATAGCTACCAGAGATTTGATTTTTTTGGTGTAATCTGGTAGGATTTCTCCAAGTGCTGTTGAGAGACTGCATGAAAAGTACATAGAGGCACAGTGAAGACAACTAAGAAAAATGACAACAGAGTTTCAATTGACTGGCAAGTCACACACCTAACACCTGCAGAAGTATCCCTAGATTACAGGTATAAATATACACAGCTCCCTAAATCTCTGCTTGAAAAGGTCCCAATTAACTCTACTGAAGACTATATGCCACATAAGAACCCTGCTAAGTAAAACAACAACTCTCTAGGATACTACTTAAGGCAGAATAAAAGAACAACTCATTTAAGCATCTTCTTTATTCATACATTTCTCAAATGCCTGATCCTGCAGCAGCAGCAGGAACACCATTGTAGTTATATGCGAGCTTACATGTTCCAAAGTGTTGTCATGACAATGTTCATACTCAAGTGTGCAAGTCTCTAAAAAAAAAACCAACTTACTATCTACCGCACTCCTTTTTCATGTTCCAGATTTACTCCTAAATAAACTAATTAAGAGAACATTAAAGTAGCTAAATAGAACATTCCAATCCCCAGGAATGACAAATTTAAATGACACATGTAGCCATAACTGCTCCCTTAGGTAACATAAGCATTACCCTTCACATTGTAATTACAAGATCATACATTACTGCTAGTATCAGTATACTAACACTTTATTTATAAGAAAAGCATACAGTAGTAAAAGAGCTACAGAGGAAAATAAAAAATTAATACCACTTAAAAACTAGACTGGAGGAAGGTAAAAGACATAAACAAGTTGACAGTGATAAGAAAGTGGGATGGTATGCCAAAACTCAAGGAAATCAGTACTAGTGAGATCCTTAAACTGGTCCACGAGGCATCAGCTACAACAGATGACACCAGAATGTTTCTACACCAACACACACAGCATGAGAATCATCACTGGAATAAATGAAACCTGTTAGGATAAGCCCCTTGACCAGAGTGCCATGTTGGATGGTAACAAGCTCTCCAGGAGGGACAGGCAGGGCAGGAGAGCTGGAGGGCAGAAATGTAGCCTGAAATCAGCAATGGCAGCCTGACAGTCTCTGAGTAAGGATTAAGGGACAAAAAAATAACATGGATGTCATTATAGAAGTCTACTATAGGCCACCTAGCCAGGACAATGATTCCAGAGAATTACTCTTTGAGGAACTAAGGGAGACCTTCAAAACAACTGTCCTTGTCCTTACAGGAACATCAACTTGTCAGATCTTAACTGGGAGCATCATACAACTGGCACAAACAGGTCCAGAACAGCCCTAAATCTGGATAGCCTTTTGTCCTCATTTAGGGCAAATTTGGGAGAGAACCTCCAAATGGGGCCACCCCAGAAAAGCAAATCCAAGCAGCCCCTCCCTCCAACTGGTTTGGGAAAAAGTGATTTTCTTGGAGAGAAGTGACAAAAACTGTTAATTTAACAGAAATTCAATATGATTAAACAGTACAACCTCTCACTGTTCTATGGGATGGCGAATCTAGGAAGAAAAGTCCTTTTCATGTGGTGTGGCTCAGTCCGCTTAGGCTCCTCTCAGTCCCTCTGGCACTGGAAAGTGCCGAGGCCCAGGCCCCGGTGGGCCACAGGCGTGAGCTCACGAAGTATGGCTGGGCTTTTTTCAGTCCAGAGCAGGTTAGAACAGATCCAAGGAAAAAAGAAAAAAAAAAAAAAAGGTGCAGGGAACTCCTCTGCCTCAGCTAGCTATAACTAACTAAAAGCCAAAGAGAAGCTCTCCCCTGCTGTCTGTCCATGCTGCAGACACCACAGTCCAGGAGCAGCATGTAGGGAAGCGATGTTTTTCCTCAACACAAACTGCGTGCTTCTTCTTCACCCCCTTTGCTCTCAGAGCCAGTCTAAGAGGTGCAGAATTTAATATATAACATAAACCAGGTGACTGGGGATACCAGTATCATAAAGTCACCCCAGGACAACTTATGATAAAGCTACTAATGGAGCCAGCTATGAAAGGTGCCCTCCTTGATGTGTTGCTTATTAACAGGGAGGATCATGTAAACAAAGTGGTGACTGGTGGTCACCTTGGCCACAGTGACCACGCAGCAACTGAGTTTAAAATCTTGGTTATCAGGAGGAAAACTGACAGCAAAATTTCAGCCCCGGGCATGACAAGAGCTGATTTCAAGCTGTTAAGGGACTAGTAATGTGCCCTGAGAAAATGCATTTGAGGGTGCTGGGGTCCATCAGGTCTGGTGATTTTTTTAAGCACCATCTCCCAGGGGCACAGGAACAGGGAGTTCCAAAATGTTAGCAGTCAAGCAGAGGAGGCAGAATGCCAGCTTGGCTGAGCAGGAATCTTCTCTTGGAAATAAGGTAAAAAAGTGAGGTGTATGCCCACTGGAAGCAAGGTCTGGTGAATGGAAGAACTACAGAGATGCTACAACCAGTGAATGGACACGAGGGAATGGCCTGAAGTTGTGTCAGGAGAGGTTTGGGTTGGATATTAGGAAAAGTTTTTCATCCAGAGGGTGTTTGGGCACTGGAACAGGGTCTCCAGGGAAGTGGTCACAGCACCAGCCTGACAGAGCACAAGAAGTGTTTGAGCAATGCTCAAACATTGGGGCACATGGTGTGACTTTTGGGGTGTCTTGTGTAGGGCCAGGAGTTGAGCTTCAGTGATTCTTCTGGGCCCCTTTCAACACAGAATATTTTATTATTTTGTGAAAGATGGTAAAGAAATAGCTCTGGTTTCAGCACAAAGCAATTAAAATTCACTCAGCCCTCTGGCATTTTCATACCTCTGCAGTTTCTCACCTCTGAAGTGTCTGTTCACATACTTCTAATCCCAAGGGCTCATGATTCCTGGCAATTATAGTAATTTAGCAACAGAGCTTCTCCCCACATCTTCTAGAAGAGTGCAGAGAAAGTTTCTAGTGCCTCTCCCACAGACATGTAGTTTTTATGGGATACTTCACCTACTAGTCTTCAACCGAGATGGAGAACAGTTACGTTCACTTTAATTTCCAATAATCATTTCAACGTTACAAATACATTTATACTGCACAAAAATTAATACAAGATTCCATCCAACAAAAGTACTGTAGAGATACTGAAGAGCAGAAAATCTGGAATTCATCCTACGAATCTCAAGCAAGAACTTCATTGTGAGACCGGAATACAAAATTTAAACATCTAATCAACTATTTCTGATATTTTTACATGCCTCAGGGAATTAAGCTGTTCTTTCTAGATTAGTTATTACTGCATCATTTTCATTCATTTTTATATACATGTCTCATTGAAACAGAGGAAATCTACGAAATTCCAATTCCACAGAAAACAGGCTCATAATTGAAGATCCCTTGAAAGATTAGGACAGCAGTTCCTGACTGTGAAAAAGTTTTCAGACAGAATTTGAATTGGAAAAGATCTCTAAAATTATATGTGATTTAGTTGGATCCACTGTTTATTTAAAAGAAAAATAAACATTTAATATGACTCAAGAGTGGATTTCATTATTTTCACTTTAGTCCAATAAGAGAAAATCAGGCTTTCACAAGACTTTCATGTGACCCAAAGAAGTTGAGCTGCTATTCCAATTATTTGTATTACAAATAAATGTCTATAGCTTTATTTTTTGTATAACGTTTTCCTAAGCAAACTCTAAAATAAAATGATTCATTGCGTAACTCAATTAAATGTAACCAAATTATTACTTCATCATATTTCAGATTTCTGAAGCAGAAAAAAAATATGCAAAATCATTAGCACTTTAGTCAAAACTAAAGACAAAATGAGTGTGCTGAAATATTCAGTATATAAAACTTCCACAGATGGTACATGCTCCTGATACCATCTTTGAAACACAAAGAATGTTTCCAAACAAATATCTCCTGACACAATTTCTCTCTCCAGTTATCAATAACCTGTATCAAGATTGCTCATTACTGAACCATTTTACAAGTCTTAGATTGTGTTCTTTACATGTGACCTGAACGTAATGAAAAACTTACTCATCAATAACTCATTTTGCTCTCAACAATATAATCCACTTCATACACTTGGGATGTAAGACCAATGGCATCTGAATTTATAGCTTTTTTTCAAAATTTCAACATAAAAACAAAATACAACTTGGCATTATCTGCTCTTCATCTTTTCAGAAGTCACCTAATTCATCAAAGATTATTTTATTCTCCCATTCCTTAGTTACTTCAGTTAGGTAAACAATTACCTTAGAACCACTATAAAAAGAATATGAAAATCCTCTGAAACAACATCTTTTTCCCTAAAAAAATACCAATATTTTGTAGCAGATGTGAACTAATACAAGAAATAAGGATGGTTCTTTTTCAGCTTCACATGGGAGGACTGCTGTCTCCACAGTCATAAAATAAGCATACAGGATATACGAGAAGCGACAATGCACCTAAATAACATCTTCAGCAGGATGAACATTCAAGCCATCAAAAACCACAACCACATCCCTTCCCTGCCAGTTTCAAAATACTGAATTACAGATCCCACATTTGCTATATTTCTTTCTCAGAGAAAAAGAATACATAATATACTAGTAAGTTTGAAATCCTTTCTAGAGTTTCATCAGCAAAGAGGGAAAACACTCAAAGCAACTGCTACTTCTTGATCACATAAGACTTTTCACACTTCACAAGACATGGGTGTTTATTTAAGAAGGCAAATATAATAACCTAATAATAATATATATAAATATAATATAATTTCAAAGGCAAATGAAATCTCTTTATAATAGATTATACAGGAGCTCAACTGTGCAGTTTATTTCTCAGTGTGCATGGCCTCAAAACACTTTTATTTTGATTCATGCTCTTCAGCACTCCAAAGCAACTAACACAAGTTATACATATCGCAAGTGCACACAAATTTTGCTTGCATTACCGGAACTTCCAACAATACAATGTTTGTATCTCATATACTTTCTACATTATCATTACCTTTTTACTTAATAGTCTCAGCTTTTCACAGATTCTTATTTTCACTTTCTGAAACTCAGACAATAGTACTGTTCTCGCAGCATTCAGTCTTTTTTTCACATCTGCCTTCTGTAACACCAAGCAATTCTAGACTCAGCTAAGTTCTGCAAAACCAAGAACAGAACTTCTTAATTTTGGTGTACAAATTAAGACTACCAGCATTCCTAAAAAATATGATTGTATTAAAATATCTATTTGCTTACTCTTACAGATACGTATGATATTCCTTATAAAATAAGGCTTTAGGTAACTGAATATAAGTCTATACATACATACTGAATATAAGTCTAGACATACATACAGTCTCAATCTACAAACACATATGAATGAGATGCACTCGAAGAAGCAGCCTAATTGAAAGTGTCACGGTAAAACCAAGTATCTTTCTTATGAATGAAAATTTACATAACTAAGCCTTCTAATAAGTCTTGGTTTCATCTCTAGCAGTAAATATATTAAATTAAAAAATTACATTTTTCTCTTACTATATCAACTGCCACATACTATTTTCAACAAAAATAATTAATTTGAGATTCTACAACAAGCATTTCAATTGTCATGTATATAGGCATTTCCCTAGGGAAAGTTCATCAACAAGCCACATATGGCCACATATAATCCTCCTCTAACACACAAAATCTAACCTTTATTAACACATTTAATCAACCACTCGTCTGTACAGGAAACAAAAACCTACCTTATCTTTATTGAAGCTTGCTTAAGAAGTCTATTCTAGTTAAACTAGTGTAACTTTTCTTGTACCAAGATTTAAAGTCACATGAACAAATCTGAGGGCTGCCAATATCCAAAATTCAGTATCTGTTCTGTACACTTAATTTTGTCAGTTGAAAGTCTACTACCTAATGAAAAGTGCATCCTTCTCCACCACCAACTGCCGATTCTGGTCAACATGCTGTCACATCAGAAGACATGTACAGTACCGGGAGTCACCCTAACTCAGTACGATTTTTCCACAAATTACAGATTGGACTAGCAGCAATTAAGATTTCCAAGCAATCTCTTAATCTCTTTTAATTCTAAACAAACATTAGCTGAGATGGCTATCTCTGGTCACTGCATAAACATTTTTATTTTCTCATTGATCTGGAAGGCAAATTTGGCCCTAATCTACAAATTACACTTCATCATAGGCTTTCACCACAAAATCCTACCAAGTTCACCTTGGGATTCCATGCAAGTGCATCCAGTTACCTGGTTAAAACTTCTGTGCACACATCCTTCTTGTCTTTCATATAATCACCATTTCTGAGTAAAAGCTGAAAGTCAGTTTTCAGAAAGGAGAGCCAAAACACAACATAACACAACAAATAATTTTTAAAAGTCTAATAATGACACTATTAAAGTTGATTTACTAAAAAGAGCACAGAAAGGACAAAACTGATGGCTAAGCAATACTTCAATCATTTAACCATACAGACTTAAATGGGCTATATTGTCCACAGCTGACAGAAAGCTAATGCTGAGCCAGCTAATGGTACATAACAGAGGCTTCAATTTTCTACATGAATAATTGTACCACAGCACACAACTGTTATAGCAGAACAACAGAGAGGTACGGATTAGTCAAAGGCTAGGCCAGAGAAACTCTGTAGTTAACACGTCTAAAAGTGAGAAAACAAAGCAAGGAGTATTTCATTTCATCTACCACCATAGCTACATCTGAAGACAGAATTAAACACCATGGTGAAGCACCCCAGTGCTACATAGAAAAAGAACCCAAAACATTTCTATGAGTCCAAAAGACACTAATTCTATCTTCAGGTGAAATTTTGCATAGGCTAAAATACATAATGTGCTCTAGCATTCCATAGTGATTATGAAGATCAGTTTTCAAAAATAAAAGTATTTTTAACTCTCTAACACAATTCCTTCTGTCACTTCACTATATGGTCAGATTCTACTTCAAGAACTTAAGACAGGAGCCACATTCAAATTTAATAACTCCACATGTAAGGAAAGGGATAACTCACAGTACATGAAAATATCTCCAGACTGAGTTTTGCAGTTATGAATCTGTCAAGGCTTTCTAACAATAACAAATAACAAACAATTACATGGCAATCAAATTATTCTTCTGCCTTAATAGTCTCCATAAACTAGACAGCTACCTTCTACAGCAGTTCCAAGTATTTTACTACAACATACACTTGCAGACCTCCTCTCACTTGCATGGCTTTCTCTGCAATGTAAAAACATCTTTATTAAATTGAAACTACAGTTCTATAGTCTTCAAAAAGGCTATAAAGCTTTTTTCTTGTGTTATAAGTTTAGTAAGGAATAAAAGGAGATAAAGTCTCAGACACCACACCAAATAGAATCATGCTTGACACCTTGATTTTGAATGCATAAGATGCATTAGTGACAAATATTTAAGGAAAAACACAAGCCACACTTAAGGTCTTAGATTCATCACTAGTGATATAATACAAATCATTTAAACTAACGCCTTCCTATGGAACTCAGAGGAAAAAACAAGCCTCACAGAGTTTTACACAAATTCAAACAACACTGAATATGAAATCATCTGATGTAAATCATAAGCTCTGAGAACTGAACATGATGCTGTTGGCATCAGTTTTGTCAAGGTCCAATTGCAGTTACTTAACTACACTGATTTAAAATCAGAATAAAATTCTCAAGCACTAAAATGAGAAAACTTAAGTGGGTTGATGTGTATAGTGAACACTTAATGTACCACTTAGGAAGATTAAGATAGAATCATTCCTCAAAAGCATCAACGTTAGCTAAGCTGAGCTTTCTACAGATTAATGCTCAACACCCACACAGCCACAGTGTAGTCATTTCACCTTGCTGGATATCTTCCACATTTCCACAGCATTCCCAGGCCACCCTCTGATACATCTTCAACTCTCTTTCTTCACAAAACCTGTTCTTTCTCCCCACACTGAAATGTTCCCTCCTTCCTCAGTGAAATGTTCTATTGCTTGCCTAGTACTACAAGTTGCAAGCTGAACAGCTTTCAAGCTACTACCAACAAAACATAGAACATCCTTCCTTCACCATAGTAATGGTCAATAAATATCTACTGTCTAAATTGGTTTTTATGAAGCTTACAGGAACTTATCTAACTTATCTTCATAGGCATAATGATTTAAGCTTGGTTAAAACTGCCCTAAAAATTCTACATTTCTACAGGCAGCAGATGAGAGAGCTGCAAATCAAAAATACTTCATTTCCTTAAAGAACGGACTTTTTTTCAAGAGAAAATCTAAATTACAATCAACAGAATTTACTTAAAGGTCTCACAATATTTTACACAAACAATAATGAATACTGTTGGAAAAATTAAAAGCAAAGACAAGAGCATTTCTATAAAGACATTTCTCTCTCAGTCTGACAAAAGCTAAATAGAAAATTTAGTTATTTTGTCTTCCTCTTATTTGCTAGAAAAATTCTGCCCTGCATCTTTACATCTTGTACATCTTTACAACCATAAATTCTAGTTTCATCATTTTTTATTTCTCCAGATTTAGAGATGCCTCAACCTACCATCAGCAAATGTTACACAGATAACCTGAGATAACCTTTAATAACCTGATAGACTGAGCAACCTGCTCCTGAAACATTGCAAGAAGTGAGTGCCAACTGAGGTGAATTTCTACAGAAAGTAAAAAACATTCTATATGGAACTTCTCTGTTTCCAGAAGAAAGTATCTGCAAGGTGCAACTAAGAAAATACTAGTAGCTAAGGTTAAAGTGAAATATGTCTCCCATGACCCTTAAAGCAATCATGTCCCTGACTTCAGCCTCTACAGTATTACTTCATCTTCCCAAGATTACTGTGCAATTACTTAAGATTTAAGAAAGATGTACTTTTACGGGCATTATCTACATTTACACTGACATCAAAAATATCAATACTGCATGAAAACAAATATGTTCTTCATTACAAACTAGCAGAACTCCTCTAAAGCCATGCTGAATGCATTAAAAGATTGGTTTATATCATTACATTAAAAAGTCGTTGAAACATGCTAACAGCCATGTTAACTACTTCATTTAACTTCAATAAAAAGACATAAAATAAAAACTGCTTAGTGCCTTAAACACAGAAAGATACCCACAGGATTCTTCTATGCATAACAATTTTTTAAATAGTACTTTCTTCTAGGCTGCAGACATGTGTCCTCTCCTGGACTAAATCACACCTTCCAGCATCACAAAGGGAACTTGCCAAGAAGCCGATGATTTTAAAGCATTTTCTACAAAAATGCAGCCAATGCAGCTTTAAAAATTAAACAGATCGAACATTAACTAGGTAATTAGCACCTCAAGCCCAAAGACAAACTGAACCAAGAAGAACAGTTTTATGGCTACAATAGAACCTAAGTCTGAAATTTGCAAAACGCAAATGCAAACGACAAAATGCAATCAACTTTGATGGGTTAATACAATGGCTCTTCTATTGCATGTGGCACGCTACCTGCTGCTCACTCCCAGGCCTCACTCCCAGTGAAACCATTACTCACTCAAGAGTGACAGAAAGTTCACAATCTCAGTAACTCACTACTGAACAGAAGCTGAATCAACTCCGTGGAGGATAAAAGAGACAGGATGGAGAGCAAGAGTGGAGCTACAAAACTGCAAGGCCAGTAATGGAGCAGAATGCCCCAAATTAGAGAGAAGGGCCTTTCCAACAGCTGGCAGCACATTCACAATGACTGGTATTTCACACCCCATCAAGTGCATCCCTTCAAGCTCATCACACCCCAGTGGCCTCCACATGTAAAATGCCACACAAACACCTTCTTCAACTCTGCTTCTGCTGAAATTCTTCTACATTCTGTTATTGCACAGGGTTTATTGAATAAAGAGCACAGAAATTCACAAATTACTCAATGAATATTTATAGAGAATACAAGAAGTTGTGACAAGACACATACTTCAAACTGAAATCTAGGCTGTGCTTGTCATAAAACATCTGTATTTTTGGCCTTCTGGAAAGGACATCAACCTCCACTGTTATAGTCCACATCCTGTCTTAATCAAAAATAACATTATTGAAACACATGGTTGATTAAGAGTATAAATTACCACCCAGGGAGTCTGGAGGAAAATAAAATTATTTCTAGGAAAATGACATTAAATTCACTTAACTTAGTAACTTAATAACATTAAATTACTAAGTTAACTAAAACTGTTACTACAAAGTCTTGGTATGTTAAAAGCTAAGCTGGTTAGTAAGAAGATCCTAAAGCATAGGAAATAGGATGCTACAGAGATTCTAAAGCACAGGAAAAAACGGCTGTAGTTATATTAATGATGTTACACACAAAGTCAAATTAAGTAATAAACTTACTTGAATATGCAAATCTTACTTGTATGTGTGCCATGGGCTTCTTTGACCTACAGTTATTCGGGCAAAGACAGTACTGATTGCTCAGTGTGTCTCCTCCCACTCCTAAATCCACAGCACAAGGCAGAATACCAGACACAAATGGCAAGATAACTGTTTTAACTTTTCATAACTACAGAATATACTTATTTTGTACTAAATATCCTTCTTTGAACAGCCAAATGGGGATTTTAATCTATCTTAAATAAAAAAGGTTTCCCACAGAAAGTCAGACACACCAGATAAAGAAGGCGGTGAAGAGAGGGAAGTGTAGATATTACAGCTGTTCTCTATAAGAGATAAGGAACATGCAGTTCAATAAAGATCCTAGAAGAATGCACTGGTAAACACATCTGTTATATTCTAAAATTGTTATATATTTAATATTATGTATTTACCACAAATATTTCTGTTTCTAACATATATGTATATTTTATATATAAATATTTGCTGCCCCTTCTGTTAGAAAGAAACCTTCTCATAAATTTAAGGTAATGAATATATCATCTATAGAACACTAGAAGTAAATATAACAGGTGAGCTAAATCTCACCAAAATAAATTATTCCATACTTTACTACTTCCTCTTCAGAACTTCCTCAGAAAGCACTACTTCAGAACTTCCTCTGAAAGTATTGCTTTCAGAAAACTCCCTAAGTAAACAAAATCCAAACTAATTCCACAGCATGGATCAGTGTGTAATGTCTCCTCTTCTACATCTTCCCTATGCCAAAGAGGAGACATTAAATTATAATGTCTAAGACCACAGGGAAGGACAGACGTTCAAGTCACTGTCATTATCTGCGATCATCACCCTTTTAACTTCCTTCTCACTAGTTTGCTTTTATTTAAGCAACTATTTAGCTTAAATACACCCATTTTTCTTCACCCAGCTCTTTCAGCTGTAGCTTACAAACCTCCAGAACTCCAGTGACAATGTCTAGGAGGCTACTCAGAATTATACTCAGAAAAACAAGCACAGCAGCATCATGCCTGATCTCATTGTACTGGTGCTGCAGCAGCACTGAGGAAGCATTAAAAGGCCTGCATAGCATAAAAAAAAAAAAGGATTGTCGGAAAATATACAACAATTACTTCAAAGTTACTTCTTAACCTTTTATTCAATCAGGGAAATCAATTATATAGAAATCTCAAAATATTTTTGAGTGTCAAAGGCCCAATGTATGTTGGAAACATACCATTGCATTTACATAATTAAATGACACCAAATACTATGGTCAGTTTTAGATCATTTAAACACAGACCATGGCCAAAAAGGATTGTCCCACTCTTCTCTTAAACACTGTCAGGTATTTTGTTCACACAGCCTCAGGTGAGGTATTAAGGGTTGACTGAGAACTCTTGACATTAACCTGCAGTTGAATCAGTGAGCTTAAAATAAGAAAGAATATGTCAAACTCCCTTACAATTTTGTTATTCCTGTGGTTCGTGTGCGTTTTTAATTACATTATTACTTTTATGTATGACATCCTGAAAAAAATCACTTAAAAGTATAAAGAAAAGTCTGAGGAGCAAGATGTAACTGGATATTTTGTTTACAACAGACTGAAAAAAGTGTTCAGCTGGAGAAAAGTTAGATAAAGACAGTTAATATAGCTGATCACTACTCTGTTCTTTATTGTAATTAGAAGATATTGAAGTAACCACTGCCACTTCCCTATTCCTCATGTTCCATTTATTGTTTTCTCAAAGGCAAAAGTAAGCCAAATTACTCTTAAACATCAGAAGGCTTCCTAATCTTTTTTAA